TGTTTGTAGTACATATACAGTCCACACCACGTGGTACTACTATGTACATGATAATTGTATCTATGGGAACCTCAGCGAACTTTGACTATTTTATCCAAGTTGAACCAGACAACCGATGAGAAAGTTCACAGGGCGAGATGAAAAGAAACCTGCTGCAGCAATGCTTTATGGGTAAATATAATAATTGGAAATATTTCTTTGCACACACACAGGTGTTCCTTCATCGCGTTATTAGTTTCATCATCAAAAATTGCATGAATCGCGCTCGCTACCCGAAGGGTAACGGTGGTCAGCGAGAAGATAACACTACATACAGCACTAGCTAACGCATGTCCACGATAACCGATGTCAATTACGTGTGATAATTTAATTATTTCATATGTAACTTTGGAATAATTCGTATCCTATTGTAAATCTATTCTTGTAACAATATATTACACGCGTGAGATATTAGCTAATTAACAAATAAATTAAATAGTAGATAATACACATGGTCAATTTCCGCAGACGAGCAATTGGAAACAATTATTTTGGACATGAGTGAGGTCAAAGCTGTCAGCTACCAAAAACACTCTTGAGACATCGGCTGATCGCTAGACTATCAATAGATCAAGGAAGTGAATGGATTTTGATTTTTTTGCGGAGCCAACTGTATATGACCTTGGATACTCTGCGCAATAGGAACGATACGGACTATCCTATCTTTTGAAGCGCGTCAATTATTATATTTACATAGGAGACAATTGACAGCTTCGGTAGTCCACCCATTTTGCCAGATGCGGCGCGTCTCTTATCATCAGATCAGCCTTATCAGCAACTCCAGGCACCTCCAGTAAGTCGTGTGAACATGACATGACCCAGTTGCCAGATTAAATATGCGCAGCAGTCTCCCACAGGAGTGGTCTCCTCGTTGGGAGTTCTCGGCGTTTTAGGATCCATTCATTACTTTCGTAGAGCAGAAGTATCAGTTTTTTGTTATCCTTTAAATTATTATGTTGTTTCATTTAGCTTGGGCTCTGTAAATCTCTTTACAGCATATGGCGGCTTTCTAAAAATCTGGTCTTTTCTACTCTAAAGATTTCAAATCAAAGTTGCACACAAATTAACGAATTTTTGCGAAGTATGCTAAACACCCTGAAACTTTGTGCTTAGAGTTCAGTTAATGCGTCATGCTCGCATAGCCATTTATCTTAGTTGCAGCTCCGGATGCACAGGGTGGCGTTTGGAACGCGAATACCTTTCAGCGTAATTCTTAAACAGACTAGTAGAAACTACTGGTACATCTTTCCGCTACATTTTCTGGGATCGCTAGCGCATCAGTGCTTTGCATTTTATTACTATCTTAATTCGATTCCTCTTTTTATTATTAGTTTTCTTTGAATAAATTAATATTATCCTCTTTTTATATTTCTTTATATGTATATGTTTCTTTTTATATAATCTATCTGGCGGCGATAGGAGTTTGGCAAGGCGCACGTTTGTCCTAGCGTAATAAGCACCAAAGTTTGAATAATAATATGGTAGATGCTTTCAATCATCCACTTTTTTCCCTGTTCCACCACTCCGCTTCCTTTGTCAAGAGATTCTGAGACGAACCATAGCACGAACATTGTCCCACCATTTTTCCTTGTCTCTTATTTATATTCGCTGTTCTCTTTTGCGTCATTTCTTTGCCATCATTGTTTTTTTCGTATGCACTAACTGCACTAATGATATACGAATCCTTTTTATCAGTGCTAATCAGAACCCCTCTCCCCATCTTAGCCCCTTTTATACTGTACATTTGCTCTTAGATCTGCCTCTAAAGCGTGCTCCAGTGCAACGATACTTGTTATACATGTCGCCAGTCGGAAGCTGTTTAATTTATCCGCCTTTCTGCCGAGCTTCTGAAGTGATACTGCTACTAATATATCCTCCTAATACGATTCTATGTTCTCTTTGTTGCTCTTGCTTTCGTGGCATAATTATGTTCCCTGTCGCTTCGTAGATTCTTCGACACGAATTGACCACAATCGAACGATTCGTTGTGCGCGTGCATGGTCACCATAATCAACATTAGTGTTTCGTGCTCAATCTGCTTTTTCGCGCTATTTGCTGGTGCTACGCATCGAGTATAGTTCATCATCGGAGAACCATGAACTTTGGCTCGACATTGAGAACCGGCAAGCGGGATTGTCCTTGAGCCAGTGAAAAGATGATTTGAGCAGATCCGGACTTGATGAGGTTGTCCCAGTCGGGCCTACACGTCGTACGGTGCTGTGCGGTGAGCTGCTCCCTTCACTTGTGCTGCAATCGTCCGAACTGCATATACTGTTGCGGCCATACGGGGGTTTGAAGGTCACGAATGATACTGGTATTATGCCTGGTGTCGTTAGCGGCTCATCCATGGTGGACGGACACTCGACCTCCTCCAGGATGCGCTGCTTATGGTGCAGCGCAGGCGTGGAGCCGTGCTGTCGTTGTGAGCCAATCGTCAATGTTCGCGAAATGCCGAGATGTGTAGTGAAGTCTCGGCAATCGACGTGCGATGTATCAAGATCTCCAGTGGCGTTCGAGATCACTCTTGAGGCCATCTTTGTGGAAATCGGAATAAAGGCGCGCCGCCTATAATTCAAACGAGATATTAATTAGAAGTTAACCGAAAGTCACCTGATTTTACAAAGTTGATGTCTCGTTGAGGAGACAGTAGAAATACGACAACGTGTTTGATTGATGCAGTGATTCCTGCTATGGACAAATTTCCTGCTAAGAGACTCGAAGTTCTCTTGTAATCAGGTGCAATATTTTTGATACTAATAAAATATACCATTAAACCCTGCTTTTGATTCCAAGCGATGCATTAAACATACAATCTCTAGAACGTACGGATACTCTCTATGACTTTAACGATTACTAAAATAATTATTAAACTACCTTTCGTGTTTAGCGCTATATGCTGCGGGTGTCATTAAGATCTCCTGGGTTTTCGCCGGCAACGATCGCATCGATGTCAAACTTTGCCGAGTGGATGAGCCTCTGCCGAAACTCATTTTATCAAGCTTGCGACACAGCGCGTTATCGGGAAGATCATTCTCCGATTCCGAATCCGCGTACGAGCTCCTATGATAAACCACACAAAATGCACGCAATGCAAAACATTGCAAGCTTGTTCACAATCTGAATTGACGGAGGTATTTGCTGAATGTCGTAACTAAAATCTCAGTGTCCATTGTATCACTTGTTCCAACCTTTTCTACTGATTTTTTGCTGTTGATTTTGCTGTAGCTCTGAAAGGACTGCGCGTGAAAGTATTAATATTAATCGATTAATATGAAGATGTACCCGTTCATGGCCGACGGTATTGCTAGGTTAAACTTTCAAATGAACTAGGACACTATGCTGTGCTCAACTAAAGTTTGATCAAAGGTGAGTATTAGGATTACGTGAAGCTTACAGCTATATTAGTTAAAGAAAAAATAACTAACCTTGAGCAACCATTAAGTTTCGATAGACGATAGGTGCCAGGTAATCTGGGATTCTTGTGGAATGACCTTCTCATAAACGCTGCTTGCGACTCCATACCAAGGGGTGGTATTGACCCACCATTTACCACAGGTGAGTGACTAACCGCTGCCTGTAAAGCCTGTTGCAAATGATCGTGATGATGGTGTTGGCCTGGGTCAGTTCCTGCGTCAAGCTGCTGCCTTCGAAGGCCTGTAGTGTCTGAGTTGTCAGGCACCGGAGGTGTGGGAAGCGGTAGCACTTCACCGTCAGATAGGGATGAGGACGATGAAGAGTTCCCACAGCCACCAGCGGAATCGTCGGAGGACATCCCGCCTACTAAGTCAAGACCAGAATCAGGGCAGAGGAATAACACAGAAATGTTATGAACAATGTCTACAGCACGCCGCCTAATTTCAGTGATCATTATTTGTAACATTATATTCTTCAGTGTTTTGCATATGCAAACATACTGCATTATATATATATATATATATATATATATATAGTACGTTTATGAGAATTAAATTATTATTCCTATTTGTGCCATTTATTTTAGCTGTTTTAGTTTAGGGTTTTATATAGCTATTCCTCGGAAAGAGAGGATTTTTTTTATCTCGAATTTTAAAGGAATCGAGTCAAGCTTTCGAATAGATAATTTCCATCAACACTAAATCGTATAACAAACCCGTATGATCAATACTTGTGTTCCCAAAATTAATTTTCGCTAATTCGAATGGGAGCTAGGATATAGAAATGCAGGCTTTCGAAAAACTTGAAAAGTTGCTCATCTTTTAATTAGCTTGCCTCTGTGATGTACCGAAATAGGTTATTCGTCCGGTTAGATTTCTTAGTTTTGTTTAGTAAGTCGGAATATAATTGTGTATGGTACTAGCCATCTTCAGAATACTATGCTTTTGCGAATATAATAAAGGCAGTCTACGTACTGGGCTTATTTTCAAATTTTTGAAATATAAATTTTTAGTCACTTGTTGGAATTCAGGTCCGTTTGCATTTTGCTTTACGGTGTTGGATTGAACGGAAAAATAGTGCTACAGCTTGCTTTACTCAGATTTTTTTTTTTTTTTGAGAACTGCCTATGCAAATTTAGTTTTTTCGCTCGAAAACAAGTAGAAATTCGTATTAACGTATTATGAAATAAATAAACCATGTCTTCTATATAATTTTGAAATATTGCAGTGCATGCGTGTCGCCCGAGTGACAGTATGTTTAAAATAGCCGCACTGATTTCACAAGATTAACAGAGCAGACGTACCTTAAGACTTCTCAGATTGATATCCCTCACAGATATTATTTAATTGACAATAACACGGGTTACGTGAGGAACATGCTTTGTTTTTTTGTCCTGAGACAGCTAGGGACGTGAAAAGTCCGCATCTAAATATCATTGCTCGTAAACTATACTAAATTTTTGTTATTCTATCGGGAAAAGTTAATCTGAGATGGATCAGATATCGTTATTTTATACGGGGACCTATAACAGTATCCATATATGTGTTTCACTATTCAAAGCAGACAAGTATCGCTTGGCTGGTACAGCCGTTTTTTCTTATCCACCATAATCAACAATCGGATGCGCATCCGTCGATTTACATGAACAGGATACATTTTCAAATAAAGAGCAAATTTTAGCAGAGGGGGATAGAGATCAAGTAGAAACGTGAATGAACATTAGTATAAATGAACATTAGACTACAGTAAGCAAAAATGTAAAATGCCTTACAATTAACATAAAATTAGCCGCAATAGTCGTTGGACAATCAATGGGTAACTGATAATTGATACATTATTGCCCGCCGGTATCAGCCGTTATCGACGCTATCGTCAACAAAAGGTTCTCAGTAACACAGCGATGAGCGCGACACGATATTCCTATGCACATACGTGCAATGTTCAAAGTGTGTCACGTATTTCCAACGCTCTGTGCGTAGTTACTGTAGCCAAAAAGTCAATAATGAAACAAAAACCGCCATTAGAAATTCACTTAAATTTCCGTACCATTCCACTTTCCATTTCCTCTCGTTTACTATTGTGGGACGCTAACATCAGCTTAGGCCGGCAAGCAGAAGTGTTTAATGAAAGTGGCACACGTGATCCAAAATCTAATATTATAAATTAATACAATCGTATTTTGTATCGCACTTAACGTAAGATAATATCTCGTGTTACCTAGATAAGGGCGTGCTATAAATTGTAACGGATACTTGGCCAAAAGCAACAGCGTCTTTAAATAGTGCACCGGAGAGACGAAGAGAAGTTCTGAAAGATGCGAATTTTCTATTTCCAATTAGCGTTATTTGAAGATGGGACATTGTCGCGTCGGTTGTCAAAAAAAAGTCTCTGCGGTCGAGGAAAACCGATCATCAGATTAATGAAACTATAAGCTTCAGCCGAAATATACGTAACTTCTTTGGACACCAGTTAATGATTCAATCGAAACATATTCAGGCTTGATTAAAATTTCTACTATAAGTTAGTGAAACCATATGATAGACTTCTATCTGTTGTTATGGTACCTATCTGATGCGTAATATGAAGGGTCACTTGACTTTAAAAAATGATCTGTATATCTGATCGAGACAACAAACCATACTGTATTAGGAGACGGCTGAAAGGCGCTGTTAGCTAGTCGTAAAATAGATCAGTGGACAATTTTTTTCCATTCAGAGCAACGCACTCACCTCTGGGTCTACTAGTGTATCGTCCAGCATAAAAGTTTCTCGATTCGCGCATTGTATCCGCATAAAATACTTTCGTTGACCAATATTTATGATTTATCCGATTGTTCATAAAGGTAATTATAAACAGAATCACTATTTGTCATTCCTAAATTGGCGACGTTCACAGCGGTATCCTAGGTATTCATAGAGGAGCGCAGAAAAGTCCTTCAGGGCGTGTTTTTCTTTCCAATTCACGCGTCGTTTTTGCTTCAGCCAATCAAGCTAATCTGCCGTTACCGTTAACTATCGAGAACCATTCAAACTACAATTGCCACACCTGTTTTTATTCATGGTACTAAACGCTCGGGTCGTTTAGCGCCTAGCGCACGTTTTGCCTCGTCGAGGGTACGTCTCCAACATTGGCGTTCAGTTTTCGTTCACGGCCACATCGCGTATCGGTAGCCCACTTAACAAGCCGAAAGTGATTCAGACTGCTGGGTTTCCAATGACGTATTATGATCGAGCTAATAGGGCAGCGCCCACTTGTTTTTTTGGCGTTGGCCAAATTCCGAGTGCTACCGTAGGTCCTAGAGTGTTACAGCTAAAGACAAAGGAAAGAGGCTCTTTTCTTATTTGTTTTGTGAAATAGTGCTGGACTTCCCAGTATTACTAGTGATTCGTGAATGCATAATAGGTCTGCAGGCGTGACTATTCACCGCTAGAAAGAAATAGCGCCAGTTGTAACAGTGATAATATTGACTGCAACTGTGTGCAATGGGCAGGGTGAAAGAGAAGTCGTATTAATTCTAGTCCACAAGAACGGGAGAACCCAATCAACAACGGTCGGCTGTTTTCTCCTCAAGAAATACATGAGCGAGCGGTCGGTAAAACAGTGAGTTCACGTTTTGGTTAATTACATTGATCTCTATGAACAACCAGCATTCGATATCCGCTCGCCGATAGACTCTTGGGCCGCGTGCAGAGTCAGATTAAAGTGATCGCAATGTTTCTTTAGCACTGGTTTTGTTGATCGTGGTGACACCGACTGCCCGGCTCACTATTTCTCCGTGCGATGACTTTTTTTCTAAACATCTCTCGGACAGCGAGAATACCAGATTTTCGGACATAGGCGTTTAGAATGCGCACGCATACGTGCACAAAACACACTGGTTCACACATTGACGATCACAAATTCGTCTTTTTTACACTTTGTCCTGCTGTTCTTATTGTACAGTCAACAGTTCCAGTCGCATACACATCTTGAATAGAGCGAATCAACCAGGCCTCAGGTATGACTGGTGAGTTTTCTTACGGCTAAGTTAGTCCTTGGGTCGTGAATCTACGGCCTGTAGGAGAATTGTCAGAAATAAAGTGATAACAATGCTAGGCTGCTCGAGTTGACGCTCGACAACTGCCAGCAACGGGAGCAATGATAGTCGGCGGGTACAATGGCAAAAACCACTCACATAAAAGTGCCCCGGATACCACCGATCGTCGTCGAGAATGAAGATGAGAATACGAAAAAGTAAGAAGCGAGCAGATGTAGAATGGTCGTTGCCTGTCGTAGGGCCAGTAAACTAATAGGTCTGTCTAACACGTGCGGGTTAAACGTCAAGATGCTCAACATGAAGAACCTAACACAGCCAGACAGAATCATAGGTCGACCAGCGCCTGCCACCCATAGCAGAAAACACTTAGGCTTGGGATCTGCCGATAGCGCCTTCTGTAAAACTGGGTCTGGTCTACTTTGGCAAACAGCGAAGCTTCCGCTTGCGACCTTTGGTTGAACTGCCACTTCTACTGCGTTAGCAACTTCGGCTACCCCGGCATCAGCGCGAGCAACACCGAATGTAGCAAGATCGCTCGAGGGGAAGAGGACGACAGAAAGCAGACAGGCAAAACCACGCTGTTATCGCAGTACTAAATCTAGTGGTCGTCGTTGAGTTGGTCTCAACAGACTGCCTCCGTTCATGACTATCGAACACCTGACTGAGTTTCGAAACTCGCTGAACCCCTCGCCGGGTCATACGTTATTTTTTACTCCACCCTAATGTCTCCTCCTCTCCCGGTCTCGGGGGTGAGCCAGCCTATTCGCGACCTACCCTCGAATGGAAAGGATGTGGAGAGGGGATAACTACAGGATAGCGATAATGTGACCGCAACAGTGACCCCGAAGTACAGCTGCCTCTACTGTGGTAGCCGCTACAGCAAAAAAAGAAGGAACTTGACGGTAGTCCCAACTAGATGCATAGATTAGCGTCTCTAGCTACGCCAGATAGAGGCTCAGAATAGGTCTACACAAGTAAGCAAACCACCTAGTGGTATGCAGTAGCTATCGCGGTGATTCACAGATTGCTGCCGCACCACAACGCAAGTTTAGAGGCTCTTATAAGAGTCGTCCATCGAAAAAGGTGCATGGGCAGGGTACCATTGCGATGCTTCGCTTTCAAGACGTCTCTAGCGAAATCGGCGCGATTAACAGTTGCGACTTTATATATGAATGTATATATATATATGCACACTGATACATAATTTGAAAACATCAATTTTCGAGCTCACAGCGTGTATATAAGGCCGAATTACTGTTTCTGGTTCGCAAAGCACCTGCAACTATGGATGAATCTTTGCTATCACTTTTTCAATGATGAACAAATAAAGGTTGTGCGTTCGATTTCTGTTAGTCGATGTTGACCGTTCAGCAGTAGCCCCAGATGATTCCCGTGAGTCGCTGCTGTTTGTAATGTGACCAAGTATAAAGTGGCTAGAATGCGATGCGAAGTCTAACGATCTTCGCCAAGTTGGATTTCTCTTCAGTCAACCAATTGCTTGGTGGAGTTCGTCGGCTCTCCTGTTCATTCCTCGCATACCATGGCTGTTGGGCTTATTAGCGTGGCGGGTTCATACGCGTGCGTCTCACGATCGTCCGAGAACCTACAATCGTTCAGTTCTCGACTGCCTGGCCCCTCAGATAGGTTACACAGAATAACAACGGCGGATTTGCTTCGCCAGTAGACAAGGCGCACATTTTGATTTGACAAGCAGGATACGCCGGTCCCGTTTCCATCGACCGGCGTGGTTGCATCCGTACCTGAAGTATCAGATACGAAGATGATACCGTTGGCAGTAGTGTCGAACGCGTTAATTCCAAACTTTTTCAGGATTTTGTTAAGTTGTTGCAATGTGCTTGGGATGATGTTGAAACCTTGCAACGTGTACATGCTTCCCCGTGATAAACACTCGTCGAATAGTTGAACCTCATCAGAATAATGCCTGGCGAATGAAGTTCCATTTGAAAAATGAGATTAGATTTATTGAAGCCTGAAGAGGCTAAGTAAGCTCACAACGATCCTATCCATCATAAACAGAAGGAGATTTAATGTGTAGTGTAGTTCAAAACAAACAGTAAGTAGTCGTACAGGTTTTGAGAATGAGTTCAGATGAAGGAATTGAGCTTCATCTCAAATGCAGTCTTATATGACAGAGATAGATTGAGGAGGCTTCAGAGACTAGAGTGAGGTTGAATTCACTGAGGTTTTAAGACAATGAGAAATATCTCTCTTACGGGTTATTTAATTATGTGCACTTCTGCGTACGGCGAATTCGAACTGACCTTATATCCGCACTTGTAGAAATCGGAAAATTACTTAAATATAAGCCTGATATATAACGAAAAACTGCCCATCAGCTGCGAAAGCACTTAGTTAGGAAACAATTAATAGCCATTTGTGGAATAATTTATTAGAGAAATAGCCCTACATAATGTTTGCGTGTTTCAAGAGCATCCCTATTGTTTTTATGAGTACTAATAAACCTTTAAAGACATATTGGTATATTAATTCGGCATGCTATTTACAATTAACTTGAATCCAACAAGCAGCAGCACTCGAGTGACATAAAACTGAATCGTGCTTATGTTCACTGCCTGGCTTATGGTTACCACGCATACACCCATACACATGGGCCGCACACATTCGGAACTATACCTATTTGAACTGCATTGTCTAAAGCCGCTTGACACAGAAAGGAGGTAACAGTGGCACCTATGCGTATATGTATATATGTGTGGGTTGATCTAAAATGACACTCCTTTACCCTGTGGTAACCTCTGAAAGCACAAAGCTTGCCAGTGCCGGCAATGTACACCGTCCCCGAAGGCATTCAATTAGCAAAGCAACCGTGCGCTTCTTGCCACATGACCCGAAATAGCTTGCCGCTTGCGGACAATAGGCAAACCCTCAACTGAGCACAGACGATTTTCTCCACAAGGTATCGGATCCCGTTCGACAAAACACCATTTCGACAGTGTCCTGTTCCGAAGACACAAAGTTTCTGTTTAGTTCTAACAAAATCTAATTACCAAATAGCGCCATTCATTCTACGAGAGCTATGGTATGGCAGCTAAATTTAAACTTGGTGTCATAAGACTACATATGCGCGTACATCTACAGGACACTGGCTCCGACAATCTCCAAGAGAAGTAAATAGCCTTAAAAATCTACGGATGATCAGGTTATTCAAAATAGTTCAGATTACCTCAGTTGTCTCCAAAACGATAGGAGGTAGCGAGAAGGGATTTGGAAAGCTGCTAGGGGTTGTGATCTTATCTATCGGGAACTCACAACGAAACAAGCTTCAATGTCAGAAATGTTAAGTGTCTTGATCTGAACGAAAACGAAAAAGAAGCGTATGCGCGATCGTCTTCATCTTTCTGCGCCAGAGTCGTGTAAAATCGGCCACAATGGCGACGCTAACGAACACCCTTCGTTTGCTTCCTCTCGTCCTTCAGCTTCTCCTCTTCTTGAAGAGGACAGCTTCGCCCCGATGCGACACCCGTTTCTGGCTGGCAGCGCGACAACAGATCTGCTGTTTCTGCCTAGTCAGCGTGCTTGATAGACGGAACAACGGCAGCATATCGAGAACACATCAGAATTTTGGCGGGAGAACACAGAGAGAATACTTCGTAGAACAGCAAACAGGCGAAGCGAGATGCACTTGACACGGACATCGAATTTTCTTGAATCGCTGCTTGATCCGGCGCGGTGCCACTGGAGTGCCAAGTCCGTTCAGGTCCGCTCAAGATCGTTCAGGAACCAGTCGGGAACACCCGGCAATCCGAAGACCCGTCGAAGACGGTACAAGAACGGTCGAGAACACGTTCTACGATGGGACGAGCTACATGGCTAAAGAAGAAGTCGAGAGGCTAACTCTCAAGATAGAAAGATGAAATGAATTTGGGTGGCCGCCGATCTCTATGAATCAGACTGATGCTGCCGCCGCTGTTGAAGCCACCGCAGCAGGTTAGACTATGCGAATTAGGTACAAGGAAGGCAACATTTAAGATTGGGAAGAGATGTCTCACAAATATTGCATTTATTATTCATTGGCATGAAAGTCGACTATGCTGAGACAACTAGCGATGGTTTAGATACGACGGCATAAACAAGTGCGGCAAGGGTTCTTCGGTTAACGAAATCGTTCGCAACTCTGAGCGGCAGAGTCCGAAAGCATGATGGCGAAGGCACAAGCTCATAGGATGAATCGCAGCGTGTGATAAACGCCAGAGAAGACGACCGAACACTCGCCTACTACGACTATACTGTGGTTGAACGTCTTCCCGTTCGCGATACTTCGTGAAGCAGACGAAATGGGCGGCCGATTTCTGATCGGGGTTAGCGCGTACATGATACCGAAGCGTTACAACTTGAGATGAGGGTATAAACGGTTAAATTGAGTTGAGGGTGGGTTCAGCAATTTGCTCTATTTCGTGTGTGTTTTCCTGCTAATGAAACTCATTTAAAAGGGGCGTACCACGCCAGCGATTCCGAAATTAAAGGACATATTGACTCACGTAATCATATGATTGATTCCGTTATAAGCTGCAGTCGATGCGTCATTTTTTCAAGAAACTTATTCACTCAGCTGCGCCTAGAATTTTGCAAAATGATATAAATGTGATCGATGGACAAAGCTGAAATACAATTTAGGTTGTGACCGATATTAGAATTAAACCTTAATTACGATTGTTCTACTGCTCGAACACTGAATTCTCATAGAAGATATTATTGACATGATCACCATGCGCAAAATGTAGACTGTTTACAACTACAACGCGGGCACACATCTTCGTTTTAGGAGAATTATGATTTACTATTACTCGTTTACCTTTATGTCACGTGAGCTTTACATTAATAACGTGGACTCGAGACGATCCCTTGTTAGATACAGAGTAACATGGATCTGGGCATCGCGTGCCCCTTTTTCTAAAAGTTGGATGCAGCAGTCGAAGGCCACCTCTTAACATGCAGACGATGCATGTAGACGTCCGTAGGCGTCTAAATAACGTCGTCGTAATAATAATTAACATTATTAAAACGAATGTAGGCATACGGCTGGAACTATTGAAGAAGCTCCAACTCGACGAGAGGATTCGTTTACCAGCGCTAGAAGTAAGCGAAATAGGAAAACCAAACTTTTCGCCAAATCGCATCTCGGCAAGGAATTCAATGGTCAGCGGTCACGTCTAACACAGAACGAAGATAACAATCCAGCTTAGATTTATTAATGTAAAAAAAAAATTAATAACTAAACCACTCGATTGAACAGTATCAACTGAGAGAGACAGCGCCTACGGGATCCGACCCCGCGTCTTGTTTGTCGTTAGTTCTCGTTTTCGCATCACTAACGTCTACTGCCAAGCAGCACGTTATACATGAATGTAACGTGACTAGAGACGACAAGATGGCGAGGTTCCCGCAGGTTCTACTTGTTGCTATAGCGCTAGAAGATCGGCATCTGTCAAACGATCAGAGATATCACTTTGCGGTCCTGCTCATAGCGATCAGCGACGACGGCCAAGATGCTCGACCAACAACCCGCCGTCAACGGCCACAAGCTTCGTCTACGTTTTATTGTATAGTACGTTGATGCCTACCTTCGCTTATGCGTTGTTTGCTAATATCCACGGTAATGTACCCTTTCACTGCTCTAGTCTCTAGGCTGTAAGTCCAACGGAATACTACACCTGATCATCAGCATACGAAAAACAGCAAAGCAGTCATATTCAAACGAAGAGACTCGCGAGCGAGCAGAACTTGTATACATATATATGGCCGGTACGTATATTTCTAGTTTAAGCGACTCTGAAATAACATTTCCAAATATGAATGGCCGTGTTGGTTTCTCTGTTGTCCGGCCGGCTGACAGGCGGGCAAATTCAGCCTCTCTCTGCAACTCATCTTTTTTAAATAACGTTGGCCCCTTCTCTTTTGCGGTGACTAACGCTAGCGCTATCTGCAACTTTATCCACGATCAGACAAGCGACAGCTGAAGTGTTCGACGCGCAATGAACGTAAACGCGAGGGCACCCCAATTTATTCGGCTTCTCGCACGCGAGCACTGGCCGGATGGACGCTTCCCAGCTGCGTCGCGTCAAGTTCTTCGCCTTGTCGACAACTGCGGCGGCGGCGGCGGCGGCGGCGGCAGCGGCGGCGGTTGCTCGCCGGAAATACGTGGGCAGACAGCTAACGGCAGTAGCAGCAGCAATAGCAGCAAAGACAGAAGGTCCATCAACATCGGGGGCATCTTCCTCTCAACGGCTGAAATAGCGATTGCCTTCGAAGAAGACGACGCTGATGTCAAGACTCCGATCAACAGCGATACCAGCCGGCAGAAGTGACGAACATCGCAGAATTCGCAAGCCTAGCGGATACACACAATTACGTACACCAATGTTCGGAAAAATAGATAACGCGCAACAGCTACTAGTACTGACGCCGCTACGGCTCCTGTTCATCCCACGAAGAGTCGTAGAACGATGGAATAATGATATACTCGCCCTTATTGATACGGCCGCTCAAGTCGCAAAAGAAAAAAAGTGCCGTAGAAATGGTAGCTGGCGGTGCAGCGCGAGGAAGGACAATGGTCCTTATGATACCGTTGTCGGTACTTTTTACTGTCTATTGCCATCCTTATTGCCCTTCTCAGTGGGTAGCGAGTGAGGCGCGTGGGGCTTAAAGACATCTCAGCTGCTACTGCAACGACGGCAGCGTCAGTTATCCGAGCGCGCGGCAGTGGGGTGAGAGTGTGTACAACGCTCGAACAACAGTGATCCCATAGCGTCGGCGTCGTCTTCGGTGCCGATGTTACCTTAATGAAAAGTCTTGTTTAAACATCGTTGGATGGATTACCTTTAGCAGCAAAAACAGCTGCATTTGCTGCTGGTGCTGCAGTGGCAACCGCAATAACAGGTTCGACAAATGTCAGAAGAGTCAGCCGTAACAACGACGACACCAACGCGATCATCACATTAAGCAACAACACGAGCAGCAATTATATTTATGCGCCGAGGCACTCGTGTGTGTGTGTGTGCGTGTGTGTGGGTCTGTATGTATGTGTGTGTGTGTGTGTGTGTGTGTGTGTGTGTGTGTACGCGAACGCGCAAACGTCCGTACGTATCTGTTGACGATAACGGAAAGGCTAAGTCGTAACAGCAATGAACAAGTAAAACAACAACCGTTATCGAATGGCCTAATAATGTCCTTTCCATCCAACCTACTACAGATGCTTCTCTCTGACGGCTTATGACATGAAACAGCGTATGGAGCATACGAGTACTAGATAAGCCGGCTTAGAGTAAAATGGTGCCGGTACGAAAGATAGGCCACATTGAACTTTAACTGTTCCCGATAATCGGCTCGTTACGTCACTTATCCTTTCTTCACACTGATAATAGTTGCACCAGTGAGTCAGCTTGT